CAGGTGTAACGTAAAAATTGAAACGGACCACTTTTTTACAAAAAAACAGGAATAGCTCTAAATTTTTATTAGGAAACTATCTTCTGCGGCCTAATTAAAAATGTTTCTCGTGAAATTCTACTAATAGCCGTCATATTTTTCTAACTATAACCCTAAATATAACGCGGTTTTCTTAGATTTAATTTATTTAATTTTACGTGCAATTTTTTACTTAGAAAACAAAAATTTGTTTTGACTATCACGTTACACCTGATCTTAAATTTCGATTGGTCAAAATTACAGGGGGTGGAAAAATTTTGTGGGACAGCTACCTAAAATATCGAGTTTGGGTTAGAAATTATAGCATATTATACATAGTATAAATATAAATACTGTGCACCTTCATGCGTAGTATCGAAATTAATTTTTTTTTTTTTTATAATACAGTATTTGATTACGTAATTTTACTGAATTCTAAAGGCATCTTAAATACTGGTGATTTGAACAGGAGATATGCATTTTTAAGCAACCAGTTTGCTATATTTATGGTTTTAAAAACCTGTACATTTTACAATATCAAACGCGTTAGTATTTTACCAGATAAAAATTTAATATCGTATAATAATTTTAATAAAGAATTTATTTATTTATTTATTTAAAACACAAAATCAAAGTAATAATGATAAATTCAAATAGAGTATTATTATGACGGTTAAAAAACAAACCGATTTCATGTCATTCGATTAGTGTTAAAACGAATCGAATGATTATAATAATGTCTTTTTTTTTCATGTTGTATAAACTTTGATGTTATGAATAATAAAGAACCAAAATAAAGTAAATGATATTATAATTCGTGGCAACTATTTCGAAGCAAGAAATTAAAAAAAATGATCGTTATCTTTGATAGTTCAATGACAATGAGTGATTTTAAAAAAATTATTTCCCCATTTTTACTTGGTAAGCCATCATGTGTTGTCCAAGAATAACCCTTTTGAACAAAGAATGGTGGCTTTTATTTTCTCATGTGCATATATATAAGATCTTTCGTATTTCTGATCTTGTATGCATTCCCAGCAATGGTGGACAAACCGATGATCTACAGTGGCTTAGAAACAATTTTGTAATTTCTTATACGTACAGTACGTACGCTTTAAAGTACTTTTTATTCCCGTGATGTTTTGAAACCCTATCAATCAAATCTATTAAAGATAAAGAAAGAAAGCTACAGAAAAAGCTTTCGAATACCTATATTCCTTTAAAATTAATCAAAATAATCGCAATATTTAAAAAGTTTTCTTAGAGAAACAAAGGTATTTCAGCGTTAAAATAAAGAGAAAACGGCATGTAACTAAGATCCGGTACTTCGTGGAAGAAGCACAAAACGATCTCAAATAACTTTATGCAAAGAACCGAGTAAAAGGTTAAGTTAACCACTTTTTATATTCTTTAAAATATAAAAAATTATAACATGACGAATTATTGTTGTATTAAGTTAGATTTTAATAAATTTTAACCGTTGTAATTCTAAGGTACAATATAAGAACGATTTGAAAGAATATGATTTACTGGTTAGATTATGTAGAGATTATAAATTTGTAGAGAAACCGGAATTTTTATTAAGATAAATATAAGCAAAATTGGGGATTATATTAACTAGTGGTTGGAATTTAACAATTTTTGTAACATCGATTCATCTCGGTGTGACGAATCGAACGATATAAAATTATTAAATTCCAATCACTAGATCGACTAGATCGCGAGATATCTTCGATCTAGTAAAATAAAAAAAAATTTAAAAACCGTTATCAATTATAAATAAATGTGATTGGTCAACTATCACACAATTTCAAAATTGCCTGATTCCGCAAATCGGCGGATATTACCCATATTGCTGTATTACTGTATTGTGCCACCTATAAAGTTATAAAACAGTTTTCAACTGCCATTTTAGAAAGTTTTCAATGAACGATACAAAATTTTCTTCTATTCCCACGAAACGTGGGAGTACAATAAATATTGATAAAATTAATGGTCGAATTCCTTCAAAGTATGTAATTTATTACTTATTTATGCATTGAATTAATGTATCGTAGTTTTCGATTATTAAATAACCTATTGATCTATTTCTTTTTGATAAGTATACCGCTATATCTCTTCGCTTTTCTTGTTTTTTCAAAGATAATATTTGCTTTTTCAACTCATATAGCACGTGAATGTTTTCTATTATGTGGTGCTCCCGTTTCTGTTGTCACTTTTGGTGTCCTAGGTGGTGCTGGCCTAATGTTATTAGCATGGCAAAACTTTATGGGTGGTCATAAAGCTCTCAGTAGTACGAAGGTACCCTATTTACAATTTTCTATTTATATCGTTTCATTTTTTTAAACCCTTATTTTTTTTTTGTAGTGGCCAAAGGTCGCTTTATATACCATAATATATACTACTCAAATGTATTTTTGGTTTATGGGTCTTTCAAGGCTAAAATCTTCAAGGTACAATTTTCGTAATTGAAGAATTGGATTAAATTTGTTATAAAATTTTTTTCATAATTGTCTTTTACCTATTTATGCGATAGAATTGGCGAACCTACCACATTAATATTATTCAATTTTGACAAATGAATAGGACTTTGATTCTAACGCAATATTCTGACATATGGAGCATATCTTTAATAGCTTTTCTTGTGAAAAATCATTCGTCGTCTAATTTGATGTCAACGGTAATATTTTTCATTATATTTATATATTGTTAATAAATTTATCGTAATTGTCGTAACTATAGTAATATATTAATTTTATAATTTAGGCTCGAGGTGCTCATCTTACTTTGTTTGCCCTATTCCTTTCTTTCATTGTAGATTGTATATATTCCTTAAGTAATAATCATTTTCAATTTATTATTATAATTTGTTAGGCAATACAAATAATTTCTTGGTTTTCATATCATGAACTCGACAACCCGGCTTTTATATGATATAATATCCAGTGGTGTTGTTTTTAAGAAAAAAAACAAATTTTCTATTGTTAATTATAAACAAGATAAAATTTAAAATTAAAACTTTAAAATTAGCCAAAAAAGCAAAATTTTGACCCGGTCGGGTTATGAAAACCAAAAAATTAATTTTGTATGTCTGATATTATTATTTACTATATATTCATTATAAGCTAATTCTTGTTTACTTAGGCAAGCCGACTAAGTTTTCTATATTATTGTCACAGGGCACGGACCCTACTATACCTAAAGACTTTGATAAATTTGAAAATGATGATTTTAATAACATAATAATTGGTTATATTTTTATTTTGTGTTCTGTTTGGTTGTCTGGATATAAGCGAACAATGAGGAAAAGGTTAGCCGCTGATGTAGGTGGAAATCGTCGTTT